GCATCAGGGCAATGTGGTTCAGGGTTTTTAGAAGCTCTATATGAATAAAAGCAGATGTTTTACGTTTTTAACAAGGTAGTCATACACCAATCAGCCATAACATTATGACCACTGACAGGTGGAGTGAGCAATGATTATCTCTTTACAATGGTGCCTGTCAGTGTGGGGACTGTATTAGTCCTTAAAGTTGTGTTAGAAGCGGGAGAAAAGGATGAGTGTAAAGATCTGAGTGACTTTGACAAGAGCCAGACTGTGATGGCTGACGACGAGGTCAGAGCATCTCCCAAAGTGCAGGGCTTCTTGGGTGTTTGGCAACCTACCATGAGTGCTCTAACGAAGGACAAACAGTGCCCAAGGCTCAGTGATGATGAGGTTGACCTACTGTGGATTATTTTTGAATTTCATTCATCCTTTTCAAAAGATTCCATTTAGTTTGAAATTTTGTTAAAATGGATGAAAATGAGAAATACTGTGCATTGGTCTCCATGAAGAGAAATATTCAGTGTGGTGATATCACACCGAGAGTGGGAAAGCTGTTGAATTTGTCTAAATCATTTCTCTAACTTGTCCTCACAACCACAGTTTTCACTTCTTTGACATAAGTTTTTCACTGAGTGGTCGACACATTTGTGCTCTTCCAGACAGTAAAACTGTCATTCACAGAAGATGCACAGTGAGCTGCAGAGTGACACGAGTGCCAACCAACTGCTGTATTGACTCCCGTGTACACAGAATTAGGCAGGTGGTCATAATGTTATGGCTGATCAGTGTAGAACTGCTAAACTGTGGGTTTCCAAAGCCAGCCGCGGAAGGCAATGGACTCTGTATGTAAGGGTAAAAAAAAAAGGGGGGGGGATGCACAAGGCAAGGTCTTAGTGTCATTTTGAGCCATGCAACAGCACTGTCACCCTCTCACACAATGCATCAACAATCTAAGCTGATTCATTACATAATCCTCTAACATGTGCCTGTCAATCTGCGCAGATGGACTCACTAACTGTCCAATGCCACACACTCACACTCATAGTTGGTACATGCGCGCTCCCTGCTCAGACACATTTTCAGGTGTCTTTCACACAAATTCATTTGCATATAACAAGATCATTTGTCATTTGTGTTAATATAGCCTAAGAAAACAATAATGCTTAACACCAGCTGTCAGTCTCAGCATTCTCATCATTTATTACCAGGGTGCTAGACACTGATTTAACTCCGCACTAATGAAGCCATTGTGATTCGGGACCAGTTAACGTTTGCCAGAAAACTCCTAATGGCTGCAGACTGAATGAAACCATGGATGTTGTTAATATGTCGCATAATTTTCCAGACATGAT